TATCTAGGAAATCTCGTATCATTCCATCCCCCAATTTGTATGTAAGACATACAAATTATTATTACCATTTTATGATCAGACTCAAGGCATTGCTGACTAGTTAAAAGTCACAAGGATGGTGTATGGCTGGCCTCTTACATGCTAATGCTGTAGCTGTGGTTCATTTTCCAGCTTGTCCCCCAGTTCAACTGCTGAGCTGCCTCACATAGCCATGCCCCTAATGTAATGCAGTGTGAAATGCAGCCATTGTGTCCCCTTTCTGTTTCCCTGATGGTGTATTTCTAGGCTGTCACCATATGCTTCTGGCTTGGGTTTCATTCACACTGTGTGTGTGTGTGTGTGTGTGTGTGTGTGTGTGTGTGTGTGTTGCCCTGTGTGTACCACAGCTTCCTCAGAACATCTGCAGCCTTCCTCCACCTCAAGACTTCCCATTTCCTGTGCTTCCCACTTCTTGTTCGCCCATCTGTTCAAGCAGGACTGGGCGCCTGCCTTTCCTGCCTTCTAGCTGCTATTCTTGGCTGTTTCCTGCTGCTGCTGTCAGTGCTGGCTCCCTCCTCTGCCTGTCTTGTGGTCTGGGGACACTCTTAGAAGCTGAGCAGAGCTCCACCCCAGGGCCCTTCCTGTCCTTCTTTGTCTCGGGACTGACAGATACTGCTGCCCTGTGAAGGATCCTCAAGCACAGCCTGTTAGGGACAATGGATGCAGCAGCCTGCATGCCAGGCCCCCCAGCTCCTAACACATTCCTGGAAGGATGGAAGAGAAGGCTCCCTGCCCATCTGTAGCTCCTGCTCCTCTCCCCCCGCCCCTCCTGCACACAGACACTAGGGCACACATATGCGTGCATACGTACGTACATACATACACACATACACACGCGCGTGCGCAGGCGCAACCTAGTGCCTGGGCCCTTGCTTCCTGACACATGCTCCTCCATCATTTCCTCTGAGTCCTGTTCCTTCAGTACCCCAGAATTACATCATCTAGGGAAAAAAAATGCGTTCATTTCACATCTACTATTAGACGCTGTCTCCTCTCTCCAGGTCAGGTCTGTGAAAACCCTTCGAATTCATCTACAGAACTTTAAGGATCATCAGCTCCTTTCTTTGTTTTAAGAACATTCAGACAGTGTCTACCTCTAAACTCAGAAATGCCAGGGCCCCCATCTCATCTGTTACTGCCTTTCTCACAAGGCTTAACACAATGCATATGAATGTATTTATTAAACAAGTTGATAAATAAGTGAATAAATAATAAACTACCAACCCTTATATGCTAAATAATAATATCAAAAGATATTGAAGCATTTAATAAAAAATAATGTATGAAGGATTTACTGTATGTAAACAAAAAAGTTACATAATAGCTGACTAATTTCATGACCCTATAGAAATGCTTGCTTTCATTCTTTCAAGTAGAGTCTCAGTATATAGCCCAAGCTGACCTTGAACTCCCAGCAGCATTCCTGCCTCAGCCTTGCAGGTGTTGGGATTTGAAATTCTAAAGCACGTCTAAATGTCTTTGGAAGGAAATGAGTTAGAAAGCAAGCAGCTAGAAGCTAGGACTCTCCATTCAGTTGGTACGTCTTAAAGTGCTCGCTGCGGAGGCCAGAGGTCATGAGAGTGAATATGTAGCCAAGGAACAGGCCCAGTTCTGGCAGGGAGAGGTGTGAAGAACAAGAAGTTAAAGAATTTGTCCGAAGTTACTCAGCTAGTACTTAGCAGCAATGGGGTCTGAACCCAGCAATGTCTACTCCAGGGTCCCTAACATGTCCCCACCGCACCGCTTCCTGTAATAGAGAGTAGACATTCATTTCTTTTCGGGGCCATTAAATAGTTTTCATGCAACCTCAGAGTGCTTGGGCAAGTATTTCTTTTGTTACAGAGGTCCGCTCTAATGAAAGCGAGAGACTGGCACTGTCACTGCAGACTCTTGTGTGCTGGAAGGAGTGCATAGCACGAGACACTGGGACAGAGACTTAAAGTGGGTTCTGACAGGTTTAGAATTGTAATTATATAATATGATGAAGAATAAATGGAAGCCACCCTTTGCTTCCACGTGATCCCATTTCTATTTATAAACCCAGAGTGATAGCTGAAGGGATTTTTAAGAATGTGTTTTTCAGATTCAGCAACCCCAATAGGGATGGCAAACTGCATTTCAAACTGCCAGATGTAAGAGGCTCTTGGCCCTTTGCACCCACTTCAACCAGAGCTGCCCTGTCTGTTCTCAGTTTGCTTTCCCTTGCTCCCAAGGTTTAAACGAATGAATGCATGCATGCATATATGCACGTATGCATGCATGCACTCTTCTGCAGTGTTTGTGTAGAGATGGGGTCTATTGTATTGAGATTTGGTTGGGCTCTAGGCATGAAAATGAAAACTTGAAAATTTGTGGTTTCTTCTCCTTCTAAATTTGACAGCCAAGTAACCATGGCAGCTCCTCTTCTAATATGTGTCCTCTGAAGTTCTTCCCTCCAGCCTTTGCAAAAAAAAAAAAAAAAAAAAAAAAAAACCACCAAGTAGAATAAAACCCTGTAAAGATGATATCTGCTGGGGACAAAAGCTCCCAGGGGCTTTGTGTTTTAGCCAGTGTGGCTGCTACCCTCAGTTAAACTGTTGCCTGGGGTACACAGAGATGGTCTTACTCCAGGAAGGTGCTCTTTTCTGGTGTTTTCTGTATACCGGGAACTCTCAGCACCCCTACTACTAGCCACACCCAAATTCTAGCTTTGGTCCAGGTCTAGATTCCCATTGGATTTGTGTCTGTAACTCAAAGAATACTTAGTGGAGGAGACAAGAGGCTGGAGCCACGACTCCCGGGCAGTGCTTCTGGTTTCATTGTAAGACTGTGCACTCTATCACGTGGCCCACTTGTGGGCTCCAGCTGCCAAGTGCCTTGGGAGAAAGTTTGAGTTTACATCCTCCAGAGGAATGAGTTTCCATCAGAGCTGAAGAGGGAAATACCTTAAGGCCATACGACTTATCAATGATAAGACAGGGAGTTTCTTGGTGTCACACATTCAGCCTTTCCTCACTGCATAAGGAACAGATCCAAAGTATAGCTCCACAGGGCTCCCTTGTTCTGTTTGGTGTGTGGGCTAGGAGCTTGGACAATGCTCATTAGACTGCACTTTGCTGTGTGCAGTATTAAGTGAATCTCTCATTTGCCTGGCTACAGCATTGAACATGTCCAGAGTCTCACTGTTCCTCTGTGGCCTTTACTCCCGCACAGCTCTCTTGGATGCCCTAGCCTAAACAGCCATCTTAACCTCCATCAGGGAGGCAGAATTTGCCAGGCTTCTGAAACTTCCCCAGTGTGACATAGTTTGACTTCCTTTAGTCTCCAGATCAAGGCTAGTGAGGTCGGGACAAATACAGGAGTTGAAAAGGGATTCTTGCAAGCTAACATGTGAGGCCATGTGCACATTACAAGAGAAGGGCTATGTGGTGCCATCTCCACAGACTGACTACAACTGCCACAGACCAAGAAACATACCTTCCTTCTTTAATGTCCAGAGGGATCTCACAGAACATAGTGGTTCAGACCCGTGGAAAGAGACAGAGAAAGGGAGAGAGAAAAGAGGCTGGAGACAGCCCAGTTGGAATTGGATAGGCAACTATGCCTGTCCTCCATTGGCATCCTTTGGTTGAGCGTCTGATGCCATTTATCCTTGTCGGAGGGCAGGAGGAGCTGTCAAACTCCGTAGGCTGCATAATGAACATGGGAAGTGCCTGTATAATCCTACCGTAGACATTCCACAGTTAACTTGTGGGGCACTGCTATGTCTGGCTTTGTGTCAATCATTTCGATGCATGTTGCTAAAACCCCTTGAGCTTGCAGTTCAGATCAGTGCTTTTCAGTGCTTTTGCATGTGCCTTCCAAAGCCAGCACGCCTGCAGGAGACCTTTTCACCTGTTAATTTCCACCCCACAGTCAAATTGTAATTACTCACTTTAAAAAGTAAAGACACACCTCAGTAGGTGTCTCTTCCCTTTTTGTTAGAGGCACAGAGGAATTTTATATAAGAGAAAAGGCATCTAAGACTAGAAAATCCCTTTTCTAACCTGCACTGGCCCTGGCAACATCCTTTCTTTCCTATTCTAGTAGTCCTGGCTAAAATAGCCAGATTATAAGGATTATTAGGATTATTCCCTTTCTCTGTTGAAAAACTCACAGGACTTTTTTTTTTTTTTTTAACAAATTTCTCTAGGAAATTTTTTACATGTTTAATTTTACCTTAAAAAAGAAGATTTACCTTTGTGTTCTAGTTAAGTTGTTTGTGCGATTTAATGACTCAATCCAGAATGCATTTCTTTAGAAACAGACACCCAGCTCCACATCAAGGGAGGAAATGTAAGAATAGCTACTTCCCAGCCGCTAGGAAAGCTCACATTTTAAGAGATTGTTGTCTAGACAATAATGAGATTTCTGACGCAAAGGGAGGCCTTTGGCTTCTCAAGTATGTATGTGAAGAAAAATGGAATTGCCTAGGAAGTATAGGCTGGAGGAGTCCAGTTTCCCGTTTGAATTCTTATTGCTCAGTATTTTTAAAGATATTAGTTGGCCAACAGAAAATGAACTCTGTGCTTTGTTTTGCTGTAGGCTTTATGTTTCATCTTGTTTTGGTATTTTTGATATACTGGTTTTTCTGTTTGCTTTTGACTTTAATTTTTGTGTCTTTTGAAAGGGAACATAAAACTGGTGGAGGTAAAAAAGAAACCAGAAGGAGCTGGGGGGCTGGGAAACAGGTATTTTATGTGCCTTATATAAAGTTTGTATGTTTACAGAGTTAGAATTCAATTAGGACTACTCCAGATATTTTTTTTTTTTTTTTTTTTTTGGGGGGGGGCTGTTTGTTTTGTTCTCTTGTTTTTCCTTCAGTTTTGTCCTGGGCTACAAAATAAGAACATGTCTCAAAATAAAACAAAAATAAAACCAACTTAGAATCACATGTAGTAAACTTAGCAATTTATAAAAAATGTTTATCTGTTTCATATTAGGAAGAAGAATTAGAAGCCCAGATTTCCTTCCTGCAAGGACAGCTGAATGACCTGGATGCCATGTGCAAGTACTGTGCGAAGGTCATGGACATGCATCTCGGTAAGTGGCAGAGGCAGTGTTGTGCGCCCGTGCACACCGTAAGCTCTTGTTGCTGAGTCTTCTCGTTTGCTTCTCACAAACCGTGTGCATGAAGCATCGTCAGTACTCACACTGCACTGATGAGGGACAAGTGCATAAAGTCAAATAGCCCAAGATTTCATCACAAATAAACAGAGTAGGCAATCAAAGCAGAGCAAAACAAATGTGCCTTCACCTTCTGGCTGCCACGGTGCCTTTGAAAATACCTGCACCCCTCAAACCAAAGGTTGAGCTTCCGAAATCAATCGGCATCATTGCTGAGGCCCCCAGTCTAGAGTCATTCACACAGTGCTTATGATGAGGCTTTCCATAGCTAATTAACTATCAGCCATAAGTGCAGGACCTGAGAACTAGAAATGTCCTAGGTTACGTTCTGGCTGCATGTGAATCATCAGTGTGCCAATCAGAGGTCTTCTGGTATTACTGCTCTAGTATTACTGTGGAGTCCTAGGGTTAGTACTCAAGCTGGTCTGCTGAGGCATTTTGTGTGACAGTAGTAATTATGTGCTACTTGCAGGAGCTCTGTTGTGCGTATCGTTACTTGTTCTCAGCCCATTGGTAGTGTGCTGCTCTAGATCATGTGACAAATTGTCAGGCGTTATAAGAAGTCAGGACACACGCGCACGCACACACACACACACACACACACCCATCCTCTGAGGAGAGGGTGTTTACCAAGGCCTCCTCCCACCAGCAGTCCTTCTCCCTCTGAGTGTAACCCATCCTTGGCATCTGCCCTGGAGATGAATTCTCCACCTTCAGATCCTATCAAGCAGTCTCTTAAGCCCTTGAGGTTGAGAGTCTGTTACAAGTGACCAAAGTAGCTGTCACTTGGATTAGCCTAAACTATGTTGACTTCGGGTGAGTAATAACATCTTTCCCTGTCTTAAGATGAGGGAAGATGCTGTGTGAGTGAGTGGCTGGCATTCATTGCCTCGGAAACAACTGGCCGGGCCTGGGCGGGCTCTAAACCTTATTTCTCCATCAAGCCTCTGTTGGGGAAAGGGGATGAAGGAAGGCAATGGGAAAGATCCTGGGATATGGTCACCAGCCAGGCTGAAGCCTGCCCCACCTACAGCAGCCCAATGTGTCACCCTTCCTTCAGACCCTTTCTTTACTTGGTGCTTGATTATTTTAAAAGTGCGTATGGGACTGGGTTTATATGATTCATATTTCCTCAACATGATCATACTCAGATATGCATCATGAAAAGGAAGTGTGGGTAAGGTGGCTCAGTGGGTAGAGCACTTGTCCCGCAAGGTTGATAGCCTCAGTTAAGAGCTCCATAACCCACACTTAAAAAATGGTGCATGTTAACAGAAGCCTGCGTAGTCCCAAGGCTACTCCTGTGGGGAGATGGGGACAGGAATGGGGGAATAATAAGAAGCTCCTGGGCCAGTTAGCCTGCCATGAGCATCTGGGAAGAAACTCCATCTCACACAAAGGAGAAAGGCAAAGAGCATTGTCCTATGACCATCACGTGCTCCATGGTGCAAGTGCACACACACACACACACACACACACACACAAATAATATCCACATTTGCATGTAACACATGCACAAAAATAAAAAGCACTTATGAAACAGTTTATAGAAAAATAAAGTATTATATGATAATTTTTATTTACATATAATTTAATTTTAAATTATTGCACTGTGTATTTTCTGTTTCTTAGGTATTTGAGTGTATTATTTGTATTTTGGTTTTGAGCAAAGAAATGCTTGGGAGAAAGATTTACCAAAACTTGAAAAAAAAAAATCTTACTGGGAAATTTCCCGGTTGTCTGCTGTGCACAGCAGCTTTTCACTGGACCCTGGGGATGTCCAAGCAGCCTCTGCTGTGAGCCTGCTCCTCAGTTGGTGCTAACAAAGCGTCCTCAAGGCATAGGAGGGGACAACACTTTGATTAAAATAGGAAGAAAAGCCTACACCAACTGTGAATGTCCAGCTAATGGCAAGAGTAGATTTGTGTGTACATTTCACTCTCAGACAGAAACCTGTTATGTAACTCTCAACTTACTCCCCCATTTAAATAGCACGGTTGTATTTTTAAAAGTGGGGTTGCCACTCTGTATCTTCTTAGAATCCCCCATGACAGCACCCCTTACCAGCAGGAAGTAGTTTGGAAAGAACGATGCCCAAATTCCCAAATATTGTCTATAAATGTTTGTTTTCATTTAAATGGACTTGGTTATATAAAATAAAAATTTTAAAAAATGGAAAAAAATAAATAAAAGTGGAGTTGAAGGATACAGGGAATAACTGCCTTCCCCAGGCCCATAGGTGCATTCCAGTATCTATACAATAGGTGCATTCCAGTATCTGTACAATAGGTGCATTCCAGTATCTATACAATAGGTGCATTCCAGTATCTGTACAATAAGTGCATTCCAGTATCTGTACAATAGGTGCATTCCAGTATCTGTACAATAAGTGCATTACAGTATCTGTACAATAAGTGCATTACAGTATCTGTACAATAGATGAATCCTAGTATCTATACATTAGATGCATTCCTATAAGTGCATTACAATATCTATACAATAGGTGCATTCCAGTATCTATACAGTAGGTGCATTCCAGTATCTATACAATAGGTGCATCCCAGTATCTATACAATAGGTGCATTACAGTATCTATACAATAGGTGCATTACAGTATCTATACAGAGTAACAGTGGTTGCTTCTGTTGTAAGAAATTTTCCATCTGAAGAAAGATACCTAACTTATGCAAGTGTTATTTTAATTCCTCTAGAATTCTTTACATATGATGATTTTTAAAATTTATAATCATAAAAAATATCAAAATTAGGATGACTGAAATATCCATCAGTAAGAGATTGGCCATTATAGCAAGGCAGTCTATAAAGATTAGAATGTTTTTTTTCTTAACATGGATTAAGTTTAAAAAGCGGGTAATAGAATAAGAGGCAGTGGCTGAAAATGTGTGGAGAGCTAAAGTGCGCTTGGAGGTCAGCCTGCAGACAGGACCTGATCCAGGCTCTGTTACTCAGCCCTGCATGCCAGTGAGTGTCCTCGCTGAGATGAGGCAAGAAGTCAGTCTTGCCAGTTTGCTGCCAGAATTTATTTTTAGACTTTAGCATGGGACAGGACTTAAACAGGACAATCAACAAGGGCCACTTCCTCCTTCCCTTGTGTGACTCAGGAAACTCGGGTTCATAGCACATAGTTTTGGCTTATCCAGTGCCCCACAACTGGAGATCTGGGACCAGTATTACACTCCTAGCACACACTGATTCATCAAATGACACCAGAAGATGCTCAGAATCTGCCATGTCGGCCTTACCATTAGGTTTTAAACGAGAATAACTTAATCACCACTTGGTGCCTGGACATTTTCTGACATGGAGCCTTCAGGGCCTTGGCTCTGTGTAGGATACAGGCTGCCAAGGTATCTGTGAGTGCTGTCTGAAGCCTGTTACCAGTTCTTTCTCAGGGTTCCTTGCTCACGTTCATTACTGTTTTATGTTAACATTCATCTCAAGAGAATTCCTTATCAGGCTGTTTTCATCACGTGTGCAGCAATAAATGACTTAAAGTGTCAAGTATTAATCAAGGCTGTTTTATAACTGGTAGCAGAACAAATGGAGAAAAAGCATCTTGGAGAAAAGTTAGATACTGACATTTGTTCAAATGGCTGGCAGGCTGGCGCATCTCCTGCTCTGGGGCTCAGTTCTGGGGGAGGGTTTGTTTTGTCAGAGTCCTAATTGTATTAACTCCATTAAAACACAAAGATTTAGAATTGAAAATGTGTGTTTTGTTAGATCTACACCTTCCCTGTCAATTTCAGGCTATTTCTGACATGTTCATTTTCCTGTTGCTGTAGTTACTCCCCTTCTCTCTACCCTAACAGTTGAGCTGAAAGCTATTGACAATATTAATCTCTGTGGCTGAGCCCAAGGTATTTTTAAAAATCTCTGAATTTCATACACATGTACAAGTGAGTGGGCAGCTTGAACTTGTATGGCTTGGAGGAGCTGGGCCATGCATTGACTGTTTCCAGTGTGTACGCTGGCTGTCTGTTCTGCTGAACTCATGTCCAGGGCAAAGGGCTCCACACTGAAATGCCTCCACTAGATTGTTCGGGACTTAGACCCTCACATGCAGTAACAGGTTGCCTTTATGTAGGTATGCCCTACATTGGAAAGGTCATATGCTATGATCTAAAGGAAATGGCCTTCCTGTGTTCTTGCAGAGAATGCTATAGCTCACAGCATCATAGAACACAAAAGATGTTGAGGACTGGAGAGATGCCTCAGCAACTAAGAGCACATCTGCTCTTAGCAAGGACCAGAGTTTGCTTTCTGGCACCCACATCAAGTGACTCACAACCATCTTATTCTAGATCGAGGGGATTCAACCCCCTCTACTGGTGTTTGCAGGCAATCGTATGCATGCACACTCACGAACAACCAAGCATTTCTTAAGAACTTTAAAATATGTCTCCTTCTGCTGTAAATGTTATTCATGGGGCTGGCATATATATATATATATATATATACATATATATGCATATATATATGCATATATATGTATATATATATATATAATATATAATGCACATTTTATTCTAATTTATTTGTTTGTTGCTGTTGTTGGTTTTGTTTTGACTTTTTTGTTTTTTTTGACTGAGTGAGCCAAGTCCTCTGCCTTCAGGACTGGACATTGTCTATCCTGCTTGACCCAATCTATTGGTAAAGGTTCCTTCTAAATTTTGTTTTGTTTGTTTGATTTTTGATTCCTGAATTTTTCAGGTTTCATTTCATTTTGGCTTGCCTTCAGAGATTCTATTTCTTTATTATATTCTACTTCCATGTCTTGAATTGTTTTTATTATTTCATTAAATGTTTGTGGTTTTGTGATCTTCATTTTAGTAAATTCATATTCTCTTTGAGCTCTTCCACCATGTTTATTATTGCCATTCCGAGTTCATTGTCTTGTGTATCATCATCTAAGTTGCTTTTCTCAAGGGACATTACTATGGGAATACTAACTTTTAGTAGAGTCTTGTTTTGGTCCTTCATGATTGTGTGTTGAAGACAGCAGGTAGGCATCTGGACCTAGGTCATCAGTACTGTTTTTTAGTTGAGTGTGTGTTTGCACCTGTTTCCTGTTGGCCCTGGTTTGTCGGGTTGACCAGCTAGCTGTATGGCGCTTTAGGTTCCCTCTCAATGTGAACTGTTGTCTCTAAGCCCAGGAGACTGTCTGTCAATCCTGACAATTCTCACAGCCACTCTTCAGGGGGTGCAGTGGAGTTGGTGAGGCAAGTCTAGGATCCCTGCCTAAGAGGAGAGGCAGGGAGCGGTGGAAGACACTCTGCACACATGTTCCTCTGGCAAGGCACAGGGTTAATGAGGTTTCAGGTACACATCTTGTGAACCTTTCTAGAGAGGAGTAGTGCTCAGGTCTTGAGAACAGGTGGAGTTGGTAGTGTGAATCTGTTGGCTAGCTAGAAAAGAAGCCAAGTGTGGGTAGCAGGGGAGGGTGGGGTTTGCATGGCATGGGTTCAATTGGAGAAAGGAGTCTAGATTCCCTGCCTAGAGATGGGAAGGGATAAGGGTGCTGAGCAGAGGTGGATGGGATTATCAGTTTGAATTAGGCCTCCTACCTGAAAAATGGGGTGGCAGAAAGAGCTTAAGACGACAGACATAAAGCATGTGTCGCTAGAACAGGTCCCAAGGGTGAGTCGAGCACTGCCCTGGGGTCCAGTGCCGCCTCTTAGAGAGCCTGGGTCCACGGGTTGCAGGATGAGTGGAAGGAGTGAGTAGCATAGGCCTAGTATCTGCTTAGAGAAGGGGCCCAGTATGGACAGCAGGGATGGATGAAATAGACAGAGAGAGCAGAAAGGGTTGGGAGTGGGGGTCTGCCCTGCCTTGCTAGGATTGGGAGCTAAGGGCTTTCAGAGTGGGGTCGATAGGGTTGGTGGTGAGAGTTGGGTCTCTCTTCCTGAAAAGGGGGTGCCAGAAGGGGCACGAGAGGGGAGGCACACATGGCCATGTGTCCCTCTGGTAGGTCACAAGGGAAGAAGATAATGTATGGGGAATTGTAAGTTGGATATTTTCTGAGGCCATGGCAGGCAGAGAACTTAAAAGGCTGAAGGATGTGGAAGAAATGTGTTCTGATTGGTCTTCCTGCCCCACAGTATTCCTCTACATCACACTGCACTGTATCAGTAATGGTCACCACTGGTCTGGCTGGTCCCTAAGGCCAGATCTGAAGGATCCTTAGGTCCTCGGGTCCCTAGAGAACAGAAACATTCTCTTTTAAAGACCGTGCGTTAAAGCCAGCTGGCTCCGTGGGCAGTGACAGGGTCTCAATGTCATGAGGTTGTCCTCTTACTGCCAATAGTCCATTGACTGGCTGCAGGATTTATTCTGACAAGTCACCAGAGACAACCTATTTATTAATTTCCGTCGTGCAGGAGGAAGTGGGTTAGTGCCGCTGAGCTATGGGATGGTGAAGGGGCTCAGGGAGAACTCTTCCTCACAGAGATGGGACAGGGCTCTAGATTTCTGGCCAAAGCATAAGTCTCACGGGAACCCTGCCTGTCATTGTCGGTGCATTAAGGAAATGCAGGGGTGGGCAGACCTGCGTGTAGGATGTGCTTTGCCCGGCACAGTGCTACCACACACACACACACACACACACACACACGTTCCCATCTGTACTCTTCCAGAGTTGTGTGGCAACATGAAAGTTGTACACAGAACATTTATTATAAAAATGTCATTTTTCTATTTTCAGTAAATATTCAAGATGTGGTATTACAAGAGAATTTGGAAAAAGAAGATCAAATCCTGGTTTCCTTGGCAGGATTAAAACAGGTATGTGCACTACTCGATACTACATGTGTGTTTCACAGGCCAGCACTGGGCCTGCTCTGGAAGGGCTTGCCTTACACTTACAGCATATAGGACCATAAGAGCCATTGTCCTCTCTCCTGATGTCAGCCCAGGAAGAGTTCCCTCTGAGGCTGCCTCCTCGCGTTCCTTACTCCCGAGGACTCTGTCTCACTGGCTTGTAGCTCAAATGGTTTTCCATCTCCCCATCACCCGCCCCCTACTTCCTCTTCCTAAAAGACCCATTGTGTTTGTGCCTTTCCTCAACACCAGGTTTGGTCATTTGTCTGCAATTACATGGATGCTGATGGAGCACGGATCATAGACACCACGTTTGGTGGCCCTCAAGAACCCGATTTACCTGACCCTGACAGTTCTAAGCAAAATGTAGTCTCAGTGCAAAGGGACATGTTATTATCTGAACAGGCAGCGGGGGTGGAGCCACACAGATGGTGCTTCCTACTGAAGAATCAGCATAGCAAGTACCTGTTTGTGAATGTGGTCAGATTTTAACCAGCCATTACTAAATCCATGCCTTTGAAACAGTTACATTTTTACCAGTTTCTTATAGTAAGATGTTAGCATTCATACAACAATGTTCCCCACTTCATCCATGGGGTATATCCCAAGACCCTTCCATGAATGCTTAAAATCATGGGTTTTACTGCATTGTGTATGTGCTGTATTTTCTCTACACATACTGACCTAAACTAAGATTTACAACTGGACACGGCAGCTAAGAATAGTGACTGTAACAACATAAAATGATAAAGTGTGCGTGTGTGTTCTCTCTCAAAATCACAATGGTGTAAAATGACGCATCCTCCTCCCTGGTGAAGTAAGGTGAGGGTGACGGAAGCTGTGCGGAGCGGCACAGGTGACCTGATGAGCCGGGTAGCGGAGCACAGGACAGGCAATCAGGATGACGGGCTGATTCCCATCCTAACTCCTCTGCAAGCTGTCTTGCTAGAGAAGGCAAGAGATTTTTGTCATACTACTCAGACTGGCACACAGCTTAAAACTTAGGACCTATTCTTTCTAGAAGTTCAGTGACTGAGGATAACTAGAGCTACAAACAAAGGTATTACTGTAGGAAAAACAGGTCAAAGACAAGTCTTCTTCAAATGTGTGCCATACTTACCTAGCATTTAGCCACGGACTCATGTATCTCTTCATTGTTTTCCTCTCCTTTGAAATAGATCAAAGACATTCTGAAAGGATCCCTGCGCTTCAACCAAAGCCAGCTGGAGGCTGAAGGGAATGAGCAGATAAACATCGCCGATGACCACTACTGCTCCAGTGGCCAGGACCAAAGCAGCCAAGCTCCTGGGGCCTCCAAGCAGGTACAGGAGCTTTGATGAACACGCATGACAGTGGGCTTTCCTGAAGTTAACCTGAGTTCTTCCACGTTCTGAACAAGGCAGTCCTGTCAAAGTACTTCAGTTGTGAGAGAGTAAGGCCTGAGCCCTGAGCACTGTGTACTGTTACACAGGTGGCACGCTACATTCCTAGCAGCCACTCTCCCAGTCCACTAACACTGGGAGTAAATTTCTCTTGGTTAGATCTCTTTTTGCCAAAATCATGCCCTGACTTCATGGGGTATTTACTGCCTGCTAAGGCAAGGGCAGAGGACATCCTGTGGAATTACCGCCATGTACGGTTCTCTGTGACATTTGAGTTTTCTTTCTGTGTTGGTTTGTTTTATTTTTTGACAACTCTCTCCATCCATGGAGCATTCTGAGGTTGGGTCAGGTGCCAGCACCCTGTGTGAATCGTTGTAACAACTCTTCTGCCTAGAGGGGGCTCGGGACTTCCTCGTCTAACAGAACAAGAAAGGACGAAGGCTGACTGATCAGGAGCCCTGCACCCCTGTGGAACCCTGTAGCTACTCCAAGCAGCTTACTGTGCATTGGCAGCTAACAAAAACAAAAAACAGCTGTGCCCAACTTATATTTAATTTTTAATTTTATTGCTTATTTATTTTGTAACATAAATATGAAGACCAAAGGCAGCTTCCTAGCGTTGGCTCTCTCCCACTGTGTGATTCCAAGCAATCAAATTAAGACTGCTGTCACACACCTTTGCCCACTGAGCCATCTGATGAGTGCCTGCCACCTGTAGCTTAAAGTTCTGATGATTTTGTGTGGCTGCTGACACGGGGTGGCACTGTGTAGCCTAGGCCAGCCACAAACACCAGGTCCTCCTGCCTCATGCTCCCTCCCGAGTGCTGGGACCATAGGCATGTACTGTCAGGACTAGTGTTCCCATGACATTTCTTACAAGTCAGCTTAGGAAGTACACCCTCAAGAAGTAAGCCCTAGCAAAATCCCTGCTTTGGAATGGGAGTTTTTATTTTCAGTTTTAAGGATTTTCCTCCAGATGGCAGAACTCTAGTTGACGTGTAATGTTTGTTTGTTTGCTTGCTTTTTTATGGTCATAGAGCTGTGTGGATGCATTTTACCCACATAAATGCAACACTGGCATTTTAGTTTGATAAGTCTCTCTAACTATCCCTTCCCTGCACAGATGTAAACATTGGTGCACATAGCCTCATCAACTACTTTTAAATGGCAGTTTTGAAATTAAAATGATTTTTTTTTTTAGTTGACTGTGTAAAAATACTGCAGGACAGAAATCTTTGGGGGACACCAACCATTTGGTTCACTTAAAATGTCTCCACTGTGGTGGCCCGGCCTTGCCGGTTTTCATAGTTGTAAGAACCTGTAGGAGAACTAAGTGTGTTGGCCCCTCAGTAAGTGCAAAGCCAGTGACTACAACAGAGATGCCCCTGAATGTTTCCTAGGGGCAACATGAGAATTGGAGCACACATGGGAGGAGTCACGTCCCAAGCAGTCAAGCCCCTCCCCTTCCTCCACCCATCTGCTTAAATGTGTGTATGCCCTTGGGGAGGTGTCCAGTCAGAGTGCACAGGTCCCCAACAGATGTTTCGTTGAACTGAATTTCAGCGCCAGGTTTCCTAGATTAGCTCAAACTAGGGTCCTTGGGAAAGGCGGTCCATGTAGCATCTCTAAGGGGGCTGTGTTTCAGACCCCTGTGAAGGGTGAGTGTACAGCCACAGCTGGCCCTCTAATCTTGAGTAACTCAGGTCCCCATGCTGCACTGGGAAACTCCAGCCACTGTCTCTAAAACAGAAGCAAGTACAGGATAAGGTGGTCCTTAAGCCTGAGTTGCTGCCCTCTAGTCTTCCTGTGGCCTCTCCTGCTCTCTCTGTTGTGCGGAGGGAGGCGCCCACCCTCCTATAAGAGTCCTCACAGAAGCCAGCAGACACTTAAGCCTCCTTGACTGAGCAGCCCACTTGCCAGTCCTCCCTGGCCTGCACCACCCTCACCATGGGACACAGCTGTGGACTTTTTGAATGTCGTTTATTTGCAGTTTGTTCTGTGACTTTACCTGTGCTCTCAAAGTCTGGGATCAGGGATCAAAGGTGGCTGCAGATTCTTTATGACAAGGCCAAGGCCACAGAAGTGGCCGTAGTACCGGCTGTGCTATGTCCTTTGTCACAGTCTCTCCTCGGGTGTCCCCTACAGCACCTCCTCAGGGACGTTTACTGCCTTGAAGAGTTCCAGGGCCCCTTTTTCTTACTTAATGTCCTATTGCTGACATAGAAGCCTGTGTTTCCAGACTGTTGCATGGATCACAAAGAAGACAAAGCTGGAATCTATATGGGCAATTTTCCTTTTCCTAATTCCAGTGCCCAACTCAGGGCTATTTCTTGGGCCCTTTGAAAAGCTGAAGTTCTCAAGGACAAGCATTATTGTTTCAGTGACCTGTGGAAAGAGACCACTGCATACTCAACCTAGATAGAACGCTTCATGGATGTTTTATTATTTCATTTATTTCACATACCAAACACAGTTTCCCCTCCCTCCTGCCCCCACCTCCTTTCTACCCCCTCATCCCATTCACTCCTCAGAAAGAGTAAGCTCTCCCATGGGGAGTCAACAAAGCCTGGCATGTCAAGTTGAGGCCGGACCAACCCCCACCCCTCATCAAGGCTGAGTAAGGCATCCCACCATAAGGAATAGGTTTCAAAATGCCAGCTCATGAACTAGGGACAGATCCTGGTCCCACTCCTAGGGGCCCCCCAAAACTGTCCAAGCTACACAACTTGTCACCCATATGCAGAGGGCCTAAGTCGGTCCATGCAGACTCCCCAGTTGTTAGTCCAGAGTTCAGAGCTCGCATGAGATCAGGTCAAGTGTCTGGAGAGAACTCTTAGCCACGGACCTGTTCCTTCACTCAGGGTGCCGCTTCAGCATTCAGTGAGGGCCTCCTCTGAAGAGAGTTCTGCATGCTCTGATACTGCTTACGATCCAGGGAGGAGCATAACTGAGCTACATATCTGCCGTGGTGTTAGTGCTGCACCCATCTAGCAACTGAGCCTGGCACTGTGCCGTCTGACAGCCAGCAGTACTCACTGTCAGTGGCCGCCCAGAGTCAAGGTTTTGTTGCTGTTGTTCTTTTACTTTTGACCTTTGATTAGGGATGATGTCCACCGTTGGGACACGATATATAATGGCTTACACTCTTGTAGAGGACAGAGCATCTGAGTGACCACTTGCCTTTTCATGACTGCACAACAAATTACATATTTAGGTCTGGCAGACCTAAAGCAATGCTGTTCAACTCCTTAAGCTCCATAAAACTTGATTATACTGTCTGTCCCATTAAAAGAAGTCAGTGTCTTTTCCCAGCAACTTATCATATGTGGGAGTTTGTGAGTAACGACCATTTGAGAAATCCGCAGTGAGTGGACCCAGCCATGCCCAGGGTTCTCCCCACTGCCGGGTCTTCGGGAGGCTGACTGACCCATGCCAGTGCTTGTCTGAGCTCAGGCTTTGTCCTTGCACTTTTTCCTAGAGACCGTTAACCCTTTCCAGATGTTTTATCTGAATCCCTATAGACAGCTTGCTGTTAGGACATTACCATCTACATATTGTGGCAAAGTTCTAATTCTCCTCAAGTCTTTGCCTAGGATTTCTCTATAAAAACAGTACTGGAGTTCTTAAATCCCTGTGGAAGCACTGTCTAGTTTTTTGTTGTGTCTGTCTGCTCATTTAAAATAAAAAATTCCCAGGGCCCAGAACCCAGCAGGATGCAAAAAGAAAGTGTCTTTTAAATCCAGAACTGTGGAGCACTTTCTGTCCCAGGAAAGTTCATAGGGTTAGGAACTACAGGACACACGACCTGCACAGCTTCTCTGATTGCTGAAAAGCCCTGCTCCCTTACCTTAACTGTACAAGATCCACAAGGGGCTCCTAAATGCTGCCTGTGAAGCTGCTTACCTGCGAAGCTGCTCAGGCACAGACCGCATTCAAGCTGTGGACTCACTGTCCCTGAAGCCAGCTCCTACTTTGCTGTGACATACTCTGGAAGGCACTGTGGTGCTAAGAGCTGGTCCTGCTTTGTCTTGTACCTAGAGGTTAGGCTTGACTTAAGGTAGTGAGTCTTCAGGGAGAGTCTGCGGGCCTCCTGGCACTTACGGAGCGCCATGAGCTCGGTTCCATAAGCCCTGGGAACCTGTGAATTCACGCTTTGCTGAAGAGGAGTTTTCTGTTAACCTGACATCTGGAAATGAGTGGTTCAGACATTTGACCCGCTCCACAGGTTAGAGACTCGCTTGTTCTGCTACCCTTTGATGTTGCATTATTTCCTGGACTTCATGCCTCAGATGCATGCATGAGTAGACATGCATTTTTCTGCAATCAACCCAGGCTCCTCGTGGAAATCTGGTTTGCACTAAAGGGAGCCCCGTGGCCTTGTATTCATCTTCTTCTGCAAGAAGCTGACAGGCTTATCCTCTGGCCATCCTCTAAGGGAGCAGTCCCTTCCTCAGGGCAGAGGAGGCAGGTGCAGACCCTACATCAGCATGTAGTGCACACTGAGGTAACATGTCCCCTCACATGGCACTGGATGGTCTTGGCAAGATTATAACTTTGACAGCCAACTTTGTTTTTCCTATACAGGGTCTCACTATGTAGATCAAGCTACTTTCCAAGTGCTTGGAGTAAAAGTGTAAGCTAACACATCCAGCTAACCCCAAACCTTTACATGTGTCCATAGATATCAGTGTCTGTCAGCTAAAACAAGAAAAATACACTTAACATTTTGTAAACGTGAAAATAATTGTGGTCTAAGTCGGTGCTATGTGTTTTCCTCTAACTTTGCTTTTCTTGATTTTTCCTATTTTTCTTGATTTACTAGTTATTGCTGGTACCTACCAGTTACCGCCATTACTCCAGGATACCCACACATGTGCACACAAGATTAGCTAAGTGCGAGATAGTAAGATGGCTCCAGATGTAGGTCACATTCAAATGCTGGCCTTGTGCATCTGCACACACCACCCCACCATACTGTGGCCGCAGAGTAGGAGACATAGCCTCCCTGTCTCGTAGATGTGAGGCTTAAGCTTACAAGGAGCTCATGTGAGGCTGGTACCAGGGTGGCAGCTATGGTCTGGTGGCAGAATCCTGGGCCTGGCCCTCCTACAGTGTGGATATGGCCTTTCCTTGCAGCTTGTCAAGCAGGAGCTTGAATTCCATCTCGTGGGAGGCAAGGCTTTGCTGGCTCTGCACAGCTACATGCCTGGGCTTCAGGGCCCACCTTTCCAAATGGGGTTCAGGGTGGGGTGGCCCCCAGGCCTCTGTACCGTGTTGCCCTTGCTGTGGTCATCATCCTTCTCTGACTTTACTTCACAGGCCTCTTCAGCGATGCCAGGGTGCACGGGCGGAGGGACCTCAGATGACTTCATCCTGGTTTCCAAAGACGACGAGGGACGCAGTGCCAAGGGGCCCTTCGCAGGCCAGTCCCAACCCCTTCTCACCATCAGAAGCACATGTGGGAAAAGCAGGGTTCCAGCCTGCTCCCCACTGGTATTCTCAGACCCGTTGATGGGCCCAGCCTCAGCCTCCTCCAGCAACCCCAGCTCTAGCCCTGATGATGACAGCAGCAAGGACTCTGGCTTCACTATCGTGAGCCCCTTGGACATCTGAACATGGGTCTCCACCAGTGGAGGCCCTGTTGAACCAGTGTTTCTTTCCCGGCATGCATTTGGCGTTGGCACAACCGTTGGAACCCTTTGGAAAGAGGCCTTTTCTTTCAGTGCACGATGTCCAGGTCACCTGACCTGGGACCCTTGCTCTGACTTAGAGCTAGGTCAGACACACCCACTGTCAGAGAGACCAGACACAACTGAGCCACCTGTCTTCCATCTCCTCCGCCACAGCAGCTCTGTAGGTCACACTTAGGAGAGTTGCAGGAGACTGGAAATCTGGCAGCCAGCCTCACTCCTAGCTGGAGGCAGGTGAACTTTAGAAGCAAGGTCTCAAATTAGGACCCAGATCCTGCTCTGACATGATCCTCCCAGAACAGCTGCATTTCACCTTCTACAATCTCCACAGCCAGGAAGGGAGGCAGCCCTAACTTAAGGTGGCCTGTTCAATGAGGAGAAAGCCACATTCATACCACCCAGGCCCAGACCCCCACCCCTAAAGAACATTCCAGGTCCCAGAGGATACAGGGCTCCTACTCAACCCTTTCCCACTCTGGGCACTCAGGCTGCAAGGAGGGGTCTGCCTGTCCCCTGCTCCACCTGGGCTGGTGTAGGTGTGACACCTCCCCTCCTCTGCTGGCAGGGTACAGAGCGGTATCGGGCACAACACGTCTTTCCTGCAAGGTCAAGGGCTTTCTGTGCCAAGCAGGCACTCTGCTAGAAACAGCGGGCATTGTTGGCAGATGCCGCCCGTTACATCTGCCCTCTGCCCCTCTCCTCAGGGCAGCAGAGTCCCGAGCAGTGACCCTCCCCTTCATGGCACCGTCTTTCTCTGCAGACAAATATGTTAATGCCATGATGCTTGCTCCATCTGGGAAAACGAGGACACTCAAGCCATCCACTATGCGGGTTTGTCCTTAGCTGCACTAGACAGCAGGGCTGATGGCTCTCGGTGGCAAGGCTCAGCGGGGCCTTATGACAAGTCCTCCCGGCACTTTGAGGAGGATTAGTTCTGTGTCCCATGAAGACACTCAGTAAGAACCAGGGCCACCACACGATGCGTGTCCATCCCCCAAGGGAAGGTTGCCATGAGCAAATTCACAGAAGGCCTGACTTAAGAAGGCATCAGTACCCTTAGACCTAAGGTAGGAAGTATCAACTCATCCCTCCAGGCCTGCGACAGTGCTGGTCATGTCTGTCCCAGCTGAGGCACTGTTCCCAACATTCCCTTTGCTTTGAGAACACAGGTCATAGCTGAACGGCACTGGCTATCCACGGGGCCAAGAAGCTGGCAAACTGATTCCTTGCCATTTGATGGGCATTTCATAGTCCTTAACCTACCCACCCTGCCCGTACTCACCCTGCCCGTACTCACCCTGCCCGTGCCCCCCCATCCTGTGCTTGTGTGGATGCCACATGAGTGCCCCTGGGTTCACACAGATGTCCCTGTGGTCCCCAGTCAGCCCGCTTTCTGCTCGGAAGAAACAGGACTGGAAAGTGCTGTCTTCTCTAAGTGATCATTCTTCCTTGTTGAACATTGCTTCTCTTTCTGTTGCCTACATTGCTGGTGCAGAGTGCATTCCTTCCCTGTTACTGTATCAGGTATTTCTGTCTAATTCACACTGTAAAACCCTGGACATAGAGAACTTTTTCTTTAACCACATGGTGATCATCAGTTTTAATTGCTCACATTTTGATCATAGCAGCTAAATACAGTTTTATATATATATATATATATATATGCCAAGCTTAGACTAAGTCCCATTGTCTACTCTTTTGCACAAGTCTGTGTTTCATGCAGTCCTCTCTGATCAGATTGGAATTGGGAGTTAAGACGTGCCTATGTGCTACACAGAGGGTCACAGACTGGCCTTGTCTTACGGGTGTGCCAAGGTCATGGGGCCTCCCTGGCTCAGTTTGCAAAAGATGACCTGCACTAACTGCAGCTTGAAAAGAAATGACCATACTGCCAAGTGGATGTAACTCCTGAACACAGCCAGCTCCCTGTGACCTGCCTCCTTGCAGGGTTGGATCTCCGCACAGGGTTAGCTGTGCTGGACAAGCGTGCCAGGGCTGCCTTTAGTGTCAGAGGAGCTGGGCAAATGCAAGAAGTATCCTAGCCAGAGCATGTCATTGCTGGTGCAGTTTGCTTTTTGTCGTGTGAAAGCCCTCCCAGTGGCCACCCAAGGGTAAAGTGGGGAGCACCTGTGACTCTGCATCAGCTAGTTCCATCTTTCCCCTGGGGACATGGCCCTGGCCCCTGCCTTTATCCAGAGCAGGAGCTGCTGGGAAATGGGAGCCTGGAAAAGAAGCTGCGGAGAACTGCCAAGCCTTTTCACCAGTCAGATGACTTCTGCCATGCTAGGCTCAAAGCCTTTTTCTGTCTCATAAGAAATACCAGTTCATATTTTCAGCATCATGGTCATATTGGGGTGGAAGGTGTAGTCCTATTCTTGAGGTTGGGTTTGTGTAGTTAATGGAGCCTTGGCAGCATCACTGGTGTCCTCCGGAGCCTTCATGCTGGAGCTCAGACTGGTGTAGGGAATGACTCCTCCTTTGGTAGTGACCATTGTGAACTGGCCAAACGTCCACTTCTTCCAAGAACCTGGCTCTGAGGTGAGGTAGTGCCTGGCCAGGTAGGGCTGGCGCTACACATGGCTCAGCCACACCTGCTTTTCTTCCTTTGCAACGTGGCCATAGAAGCCTCCTGAGGTTGCTCCCTTACCTGCAAGATACCACCAGTGCCGGCCTTCACGTGTCTGCCCAGCGAAGGTTACACGGGCTAAGACGCTTGAAGCACAGTCTGAGTGGGTGACAGAGCCATTCCAGGGATGATGTGGCTCTGGAAGTGCCACTGAGGGAAGAAGTCCACACTCCCATGGACAGTGTGGACTCCAGAGGCCCCTTGATGTGGAGTCCCACCCTGAGGCGGCCCTGCTCAGCCATTGTTCCAGTGCAGCTTGCCATTCCCTCCCCATGTCAGCCATGTCGGTTTCCTGCAGCACAGGGTCACAGGGAAGGAGGTGATCGGAGCACTTAACATCTTAAATGACACGTGGGGGGGGTAGTTTAGATGAAGCCAGGGCACCAGCAAGTGAGCCGCGCTTGCTGTATGCTTAGGCCCATCCCAGCAGCCAGCCAGTGATCAGAGAATGTCCCAGCAGCCAAGAGCCATCACAGAGGTACAGGAACTAGCTTACTCAACCCAAAGTTCTCCAGGCTAATAGTGGTCACGTGTGTACCAGAAGTCCCTAGCCCTCCCCATCTGACCAATGTTCCAGGAACTTCTTCCTACCTCACTCAGCTCTCTGCCCCAGAGCATCACTCAGAGGATCAGGTTTGAAGGACACTCCACCTTGGGGACACCCTGGCTCCTTTCCTGCTGAGCTTTCTCTTGCAGCTCCATTCTTCCTGATTCTAGGAAGATCTTGGTTGGAAAGGAGAAGCCAAGGGGGGCGGGGAGCCAAGGTAACACCGTGTGAAGCTGTTGGGCAAGGCAGGGGTTCCCCTACACAGGACGCAGGACACAGGAACCATCCAAAGCCGGGGCAGCACCTCTATATGTGAGTTTTGGGACTAGGTCTCCTCATTTGCCAGCTGGTCCCTGTGGAGTTGCTTCTGGCACTCCCAAGTGGAACACTTTGACTCTGGAATTTGCCAGCCAACCTCGAGTCTGAATACATGTTGTAAGATGGACTTGGGGACAGACAGGATCATTTCGTAGAGGGCTCCCTCCACATCTTATTTGTGTCTACAGAGATATGACTAAACACCCTCAAAGAGGAAGCTGCCTCTGTGCTGAAGAGACAAACAGTCCTCTTGAAACTCCAGGAGGAGCAGGACAGACACCCAAAGATGAAGGGACACCGGATGAAGGCCTGGAGGAGGGGCGGGAGTGTGGGTCAGGTCAGCCACCTGACCCTGTCGTGAACGGTGAGCTCAGGAAATGCAGGGTAGCTTCAGAGGTCTCCACCAGCCCTTGCTGTAAGGGTGCTCCACTGAGGACTCCAGCAAACACTCAGTGACACTCGGTGGGACACACTCACACCAGTGGCCATGGGGACCCAGTGGCTGTACTTAAGAAAACTGAGGGGAGCTGGTGGTAGTGGTATACACCTTCATTCACAGCGCTCTGGAGGCAGAGGCAGCAGGATCTCTGAGTTCAAAGCAAGTTTGAGAACAGCCAGGGCCGCTTGTTACAAAGAGGAACACTGTCTAGAAAAACTCAAAACTGAGCCAAAAACCGAGGGGATGGGGCTGCAATAGTGACATCTCCCACCACAGAGCTGCAACCAGTTAAGACCACCATGGAGAGACGGGCATTCACCACAGCCTTCCCTCCCTCGGTGTCCATGGCCCAACATGGCAGAGCCAGCTCCTGCCTCCTTGTTCCTACCTTAATACGTGCCCACTCAGCTTCCCAAGCCAAGCCCTGCGTCCATACCCTCCCTGTGCTCCAATTAGCCCATTGTGAACAAGGCCTTGTCCCTGTCTGCTCCATGTGGCCGGTGGCCTTACACCCCCAGGGCCCCAGTTCTATCACAGCAGAGTAACTGGTAGAGGGTTAAGCTCTGGGGAAGGGTGGTTAAGTAGTGGTATCTTTCTCCCATGCCCAAACCAGCAGGGCTCATCTCTGAGCTGTCCTGAGGCCGCAGTCTCTCCCAGCCTTCCCTCCCCTGCTGCGTGTATTCATATCCAAGTCGGCAGTCATCGTGAACAGATGGGTCTCCAGTTTGGAACGTGCAGTCTAACCAGCGAGCTGTAGCACTCAACAGATGAGAATGGGACCCAGGCAGTAATGATGGGACAGAAAGCCCACTGCTCCAGCAGGAACACAGCACAGCAGAGGCCCGGGGAACCTGGTGTCTGTCAGCCCTGCCTGCCTGCCCCAGTCACCCCGGAGATGCCAGGGCTATGTCCCCCAGGCCCTCTCCCAGTTAAGAGGGACACTGGGGAGGGTGTCTCTGGAGCCTCCTTTCCCGGTCCGTTTGGGGCGGGATGCTTGAATCACCAGTCCTGTGGCAGGTGTGATTACACCTGGTTGTCACCACATAGCTCAGAGGGCAGGAGCTGTGCACCTGTCTTAGACGGTGTGCTCGGCCCTCAGGCCACAGCCGGCTGAAGTCTGGGATGCCATCAGCTTCTGGGCTCCGAGTTCTGCAACACCCACGTGGCTGCTCATAACTGAGTGTGGTAACTGCAGTTCCAGGGATCTGACACACTCACACTGACATACATGCAGGCAAAACACCAATGCACATAAAAATCAACCATTAGAAAAAATACCGAGGTGTAAGAAAGAAAGTGCGAGGCTAGCAAATGTGTGAGGCATGGTGTTGTGACAGGGCAGGGGCTGCTGGCTTCTCCGAATTCTGTTTCTCAGGGATTCAAAGAAAGCCTGTGGCAGGCCCTGAAGAGAGGATAACCCTCAGGTCACCTAGAAGTGGCAAGCAAGAGCCGTACTTCACTCCCCTGAGCCGATCTGGGGACTGAGGCATGTAATGCAAATTTCAGAGCCACCCCGCTTGGGGTTTGTTCAGCAGGCCGCACTCCACCTCCAAGCCCTTTGTCCACCCATCATGAAAATAAGGAAGTGGTCTCCCTCATTACCCGGGGACCCCACTTAGGTCCATTTTGCATATGCATATGTTTTGGGAAGCTTCTACAGTATAGATGTCCACATGGCTTTTCAAAAGGCCTTTCCTCTACCCTGTCCCCCTTTCCCTGGTTAACCCTAAACTCACCGAACTCATGGACTTCGCCCCCCAGCTACCCCTGACAACCTTGCAGTCCCTTCTCGCTGTCCGTCCGTCCCTTCTCACTGTCTGTCTGTCCCTTCTCGCTCGCTCTCTGTCCCTTCTCGCTGTCTGTCCGTCCGGTCCGTCCCTTCTCGCTTGCTCTCTGTCCCTTCTCACTGTCCGTCCGTCCCTTCTCGCCTTCTCGCTGTCCATCCGTCCCTTCTCGCTCGCTCTGTCTGTCCCTTCTCACTGTCTGTCTGTCCCTTCTCGCTGTCTGTCTGTCCATCCATTCTCGCTGTCTGTCTGTCCATCCATTCTCGCTGTCTGTCTGTCTGTCCCTTCTCGCTGTCTGTCCATCCCTTCTCGCTGTCTGTCTTGTGTGCGCTCCCCCTTTGCTCTGCTCTGCTCTCTCTAGGTCCAGTCTTCCGGCCATGTTCAGGCTACTTCTCTCTCTGGACTCTCCCAGATGCCCCTGACTGAGAACAAAACCTGAACCTACTATAACATGGTCATGTTGCCATCTGGTGCCAAAAACAGGAGAAACACAAATGGTCCCCTTTCCAAGGCCCCCCCCCCAACAACCAAGTTGTTGTTTGTTTCTGCTGGCTCGGGCACCCATCACATGGAAAGGCCCTGTCTCCATCCTGGTCCTCTGTCTGGCAAGTGTCACCTTGCAGCTGCCTGCTCTTGTCTCTGTCAGCTTCTGGAACCTACTACTGCTACAAAAGTCGTGTCATGAATCAAGTGGCTCCTCTTGCCCTATTGGACACTATCACATCAAATGGGACACCTCTCCTTTGTGATTTGGGGCATTCCTCTCTGATAAGTCTCTGGGTCTGCTTTGGGACACCCTGGGTTGAAGTTCTTGTCACCAGCGTGCCCCTGGAGCTTGCTCTGTCCCTCATGCTTGTCATCTCTGCTTGGCTGCTCTCAGCTTCCTCCCAGAGCCTCCTCACCTTTCCCTGTGACTGCCCCTGTCCCTCTCGTTAGCAGGCACATCAGGAACTTCTCTACACCCTC